TTATGATCTAAAATACTCTGCATAAATGTTTGGAGATGTCCCAAATCAAGTTCTTACAAACAAGACAAGTTACAAATCATGTGCCAAAGAAAATTCCCACTACATAATTCCTTACAAAAAATACATATTTACCGATATATATATATATATATATATATATATATATAAAGGCACAGGTAGATAATAGTGAAACATTCAAAATACTAAAAATTGTCCTTAATTAAAGAATTTATTTAAGTATTGAAACTTTCAATTAATAAAGATAATATAGTAAATTAATTTTTTTCATATTAAAAAAAATTCAAATTCAAATTCAAAATAAGAACGTGGGTCTTAATTCATGGGACACAACTTCTCTTTTTAAAATTTTAAAGGAAAAAACCAAAATAAAAAAAACTAATTGACACACACAGCTAGTATGAATTGAACAAGGAAAATAAAGGGTGTCGTTTAAACCAAATTTCACGTCGTCACTTAGAGACTTGACTTTAAAGACTTGGACTCTTTATTTCCACCAAAAGCACATTTTTAAGAAATCACTTTAAAGACTTAAAAGATTTACAATCAAGTTCTGCAGATTGCCATCGCATAGGGTAATGCCAAGGTTCCTAAAAGGATTTTTGTGTTCACATACAGTGATTTTGAGAAGGCCTCTAAGAACAATTGGGTGCGGGATTTTAAGGAGGCTTTGGATAATTACAGAAAGAGAGGGTATTTTAATGTGCCACAATTGATGTTCTGGAATCTTAATAACCCATATTTTTCAAAAGTGACTTATCTTTTTGAAGTGGGATGTTGCTGGTATGCTAAAAAGAAGAACATGTATTCATTTTTGGCACATCCTTTCAACTTGAGATCGGATTCTTTCTTATTTAAATAATTTTATATCCTTGAAACGTGTTTGACACATTCACAGACAGAAGACCAAAACATATCATACATCTGTTACTGCTAGAAATTAAGTTGGCCACTAATTTCCAAGATGCAAGTGGCCAAAAATTGACTTGAGACTTGAGATTAATGGACAAGAAGACTTTGGGAAATTTCGGGCTTATGGGCCAGGCTTAGGGTCTCTAGCGTAACTTTTGTGAATAGAACTTTAATGGTCAGGCGGGCCCTACGTTAATGCATTCACACTGTTGGTCTGGTAAGTGTACTTTGAATTGAATTTCATTCACACTGCATGAACAAGATCGATGTGTATATTTATGGCTTTTGCTTGGTTGATTAAAATAACACTATAGCTGGAATTAATACATCAATGGGAGAAGTCCAAATTAATTGTTCTTACAAGTAATTAAAAACAATACAAAATCATATTTATTCCTACTAAGCCCTCCAAATTAACTCATAAGATATTTGTGCAAGACACAGTGACAAATCATTACTATGATTAAAAATAAAATTAAAAAAATTCAAGTTTGACAACAAAACTATGGGATGGGAGAAAAGAAAAGAGAAAATTAATTGGCTTTCAGTAGTAAATGATATGATTTAAAATACTCTACAGAAAAGAACATTCATGGCAAACAATTGTTTCAAGTTCTTACAAATCATTTACCATAGAGTGTAATCCATTGTATGTATATTTTTCTCTCACAATAACATAGTCACCTGCAGAGGTGGAGTCACATATGGACTTGAAGTGATTGTGGCCCCCAAAATTCCAGAAAATCCTTGAAATTTTATATAAAACTTTGAAAATTTGTGGATAATAAGTTTATAAACTTCTCAGCTATTGAAAGGCATTTGGTTGTCCAACCACTGGATACAACTACTTCTAATACAAGCCATCTTCAAATTCATTGGGCAGAAAATCAGAATATTTGGCTGTATCTGTATCTGATAATTTATTGGGAAAGGAGGCCATCTTCAACTTGGGGATTGTGAGATGTTCAAATTTGGTCTACTTCCAGATTTCGTTTTTATATGAGGCAACTGGCTACAATATTAGATAATAACTTACTGAAAAATGAGACAATAAAGTATGAGGAATCAAAATATATTATATTTTCTCATGTTTCCTGGAGAACAAAACATCTAGAATTGTACATGACTTAAAAGACAAATCTTCTTGTCATCGAGTTCAAGGGAGTTATGAATTTGGGGTCAATAGTCTTCGAGAGTTCATGATATCGTCATTCGACTGCTCCACAAATTTTGCATTTTCGTGCTCAGCTCACAAGCAGTTTGACCATCAAAGAAGGCTTCCCAGATTCATAAGCAACAGAAAAATGTGCATATGATCAATCACAGCCTCTACTTCATCTTGACATGGCGAGTTCTTCTGATCGAACTGAGGCTGATTTGGATATGAACCAGATTCACTTCATTTGCCTTCATTCATACACTTAAGCGGGAAGTGAGATGAATGAAGTTTTCATCACTGCAGGGGATTGTGATACCACCCATTGGATGATCATATCCAAATTCTTCTTCTGCTTGACTCAGCAAATCCAGGAACAAAGGCTCATTCAAGTATGATATTGGAACCACAAATCGCTTCTTCTGGCTCTCCCCAACATACACTGCAAAATAGCCTTTTGGGATGTCTAAGGTCTTTGAAGTAGCAGCCTTGTTTAGACCCTTCATGGAGTTAACAATTCCTGGCAACCGGAATCCCATGGTTTTTATATTCTCAAGTGGAAAATTAGAACAAGAAAAAGAATTCAGAGGACTTGGGAAACAGAGAAGACTTTGATGCTTGGCAAGGAGAGAGACTTGTGTTGCTGGTTATGAACCAGATCTCTTGTGTATATATAGATGAAAGAGTATGGCCTGCTACATGAAATGAGTGGTCTCGAGGAGCGGAGATGGGTTCCATTGAAGGATACTAGCTTGTGAGAAATCAAAACAGAACATGGGTTGTCTTCCTACTCACATAAAGCATCTCCACATACAAATGACCAAACTGTATCCCTATGTACAAACACCGTTCCCTACGTCTTATTTCATCCAGTAATTTGGTCTGAAGATTGCTAATCTATTGGACACTTAGCAGGTAATGCATACATATGTAAGTAATATATAATTACAAGATTGATGTGGTCTAAACATTGCTAATCTATGGACGGATATGTCTGAAGCCTGTTTTGTACTTCAAAGAAGTCTTTTCTATCCACATATAAAAAGTTTGTAGGTGTCCAAACAATTGTTGGGGATCATGTTCTCCAACAAACATACAGACTTAATAACAACCAAGTTCTTGAGATTGAGATGGAAAACAGACCATGTGATCCCTCAAATGCTTATGCCTCTTTCCAATCCCCACCCAATTGTCTCCATTAAACTCTGTCCACATTTCAGATATTTTCCTCTACGCACCCTTTCATCTATATATACACACACAAATACACACTGATGATCCCATAAACAATTCAAATCCTCAGTCTTTACAAACATGAAATCTACTGTTTGTGTTTTTCTTAAATCTTTTTGGGTTTTAGAGAGAAACGAAACTGATTCCTGATTACAATAGAAATGAGTTAGCTTTATGCAGCTCTCATGTGCTAACAGTTCTTAAAAGATTTTGTGACAGAACTAATATAGCTCACAACCTAATATTTAATTTATGATGAGTCTTCTGTTTTATCATGTATTTGTATCTGAGCGCAAAGCACGATCTATCTTGATCAAGGGCATGTACATGGCGCGTACAGCTTCAACAGGCATGGTAAGAATATAGAGCTAGCTCTGACTCTTAAAATTCAGATGCTAGAGTCCCACAGGGAAAACAAAGTTGAAAGATATAACTGCTTATAAGAACTTACACAGAGCATTGTAATTGCCAGAGTCCTATAGCGTGGCTTGTGGGCATTGAAGTGATTGGGTACTTGGAGTCCTATAGCCTCTCCGCACGCGCTTCCGAGCTTGCGAGAGGCTTTTTTAAAAAAAATTTAAATTTATTTTAGAATTAAAAAAGAGAATGGGTAGTTGTGTTCCATAAAAATAGGATCCATTATATGAATTTTCTTTTAATTTCAATTTTTTAAATATAAAAAGTGTGAATTTACCATATTATCCTTATTTGATTAATAATTTCAATTCTTAATGTTTGTATTAACCAAGGGCATTTTCTGGTGTTTTGAATGTTTCACTATTCTCTGCCTTTTGCTTTATATATATAGATATATTATAATAATATTATATATATTATAATAATATATAATATAATATATAATATTTTTTTAATATCATCGATTTGGTTTGGTTAAACCGTGGTTTTGGATATTGCAAACCGTACACCGAACTATATATTTCGGTTTAGTTTGGATTCAAACCGATAACCAAAAAAAATGAAAAAAAACAAACAAACCAACCCAAACCATCGGTTTAGTTTGGGTAGTTTGACCGGGTTACCGATCTGAATGCCCAGCCCTAATCCTATCACCGGAAATATCCAATTCGGAGTGCATGAGGGTAAAATTAAGTGTCATTATTAGTAGTTAAATACTTTGTGATTAGGAAATATATCTTGACAAATAAATTATAACAAATTAATGGAAAAAATTAGAAATACCTGCATATATAGTTATGGAACAGGCAGAGATTGAAATTTCAACCGGCCGGGAAGAAAGGAAAAAGGAGAGAACCCCAAAAGCAATAGAAATGCGTGGCATGGGAGGGAGCCCCTGTTATGTCACCTCCTTAGTCTTCAATTAAGAAAATGTAGAGAAATTATGAGGATCCTTCCCAACCACCCATCTCCATTGGCCTCTGGGAGGCCTATCTCCCATTTCAAGTAAGCCAATTCTAAGAGTGTATTATGCTCTCAAGATTTAGAGACCTTTATTTATAGGGAAGCCAAGGGTACGTACATAAGTTCAAGAAAACAACCTATAGTGCCCGTGGTTTCCATATGGTGAGGAATTTGTGTGCCATTGTAGTTGTTTCACCGCATGTTTTGGCAATTTTCATGAGGAAGGATAAGGACAATTGGGTTGGCATTCTTGCATGCTTTCCACGCATTGTAAAATACAGTCGTGATGTACCTATCAAACCATTTCTTTTATCAGTTCACGTGATGAATGCGATGAGAGAGATAAAGAGAAACCAGTTACATCTAACACCTATGAACAAGAAAAAAAAAATCCAAAACCGTGATAGGTTGGTGAGGAAGTTATGTTTTTTGTTCTTCAATTGGATTTTGGATTTTGGGGATATTAGTACCAGTTTTTGCTCCACTAAATAATTCAATTGCATTAAAGTTCCAGGTATGTTAGATATGAAATCTAGTTTCTGAACTAGTGAATAATTCCTCATTCATTGTGTTCAAATTTTCAATTTTTGCTAGATTGAGAATTTTTGAGTTTCTATAGACCTAATTTAGATTTTTTAAGATTAAAAAATCGAAATAAAGGCGGAGATGTATCACAGAGGAAAAGGGAAAGAGATTTTCTATTTAAACCCCGCACTTTTCTTTGTTCACTCTAATACTTAAATCATTAAGCTGTAAGTTTTATTATTGTGAAAAAAGACAAAAAATGTCATCCAACTTAATAATTAACCCTAGTACATCTATACACACACCCCACCACTCTTCATATTAAGTTTTAGAAAAATACAAACTCTTCTACATCCTATTTAAATTGGATCAAGACAGAGGTAAAGTATAAATTGGATCAGATCAAGACAAAATGTTCTACAAACTCCTCTACTTGAAGAGAGGTAAAGTTGTTCTCTTTCTTTAGAAAGTATTAAATTACGGGTTTGGGGGGTTCCATTTGTTTGTGTTTTTTTTCTGCTGTGAACAAAGAAAATTATGGGGTTTAAATAGAAAATCTCTTTTATTTCTTATTTTTTTTCAATTTGGGGTGTGTTTAAGGGTAGTTTGGGAAGATAGTGGGGTTTTCTTAGAAATTGTGAAAATTTAAATTAAAAGATGGGGTGAACTAAGAGAAGTGTGGGGTTTAAATAGAAAATCTCAAAGGGAAAATATAAAACATACACAATGGTTCATAGAATAATAATGAAATTTGATAATTTTTGTCAATACTTATAACTGTGGGATTGCTGAGAAGATTTTTCTAGTGGACAATGTGAGAACTTGATTTAGCTATCCAGCTGATCTTGCACTGAATGGCGCTAGGGTGAAACAAAGCGAGAAGAACACCAAGAACCCCAACCCAATTCGAAATCTCATCTGGTTGAAGAGGCATGGTTGTGTTTGTGGAAAGCATGGCCTGAGCTGTGGTTTGGGGAGGTAGGCAAATGGGTTTGAGGAGGATAGTAGGTGGTGAGTTGACGGGGAGAGGAAGAAGAGAAGATAATTGTGGTTTTCTCAAATATTTTATTATTTTATAATTAATTAATTATTTTAGCTTAAATTTTATTTATTAATTGTTTATATCTACTATGATGTTATTATTTAGTTTTTTTTAATAGAATTTTATTATTGTTTCAATTATTTTTTTAGAACATAAATTAACAAAAATACACTTGAAAATAGCTTACATATTATTATTTTAAAAATGATATCAGAAAGCCTTTTAAAAAAATATCAAAATCCTTAATTAAATTTAAATATTACAATATTTATTTTTTAGTCCGACACAACACCAAACATAGGCCTTCATTATTTTTACAATCCAACTTCTTAGTCCGACTCATCACCAAACGTAGGTCAGTACTTAATCCAGCTTAGTCCAATCCAAGCTAATCCAAGACAGTTCCAGAATTTAATCCAGTCCATGACAGTTAGAGGCTATACATTAAGATTTTTCATTTCAGGTAGTTCATCAGATTGACAATTTGCCTCTTGGTCTTGGTCTTGGGCATTTTCTTTTTCCTCACCTAAAACTTTCCAAATGTTGTCCAGTGCATCTTTTGCTGCTCTGTTATGTGCAACTTCCTTTCTAAGACTATAAGTACCTCTTCCAACAATCTCATTGTTTATGAAAACCTCAACCGTCTGGCTTTCCTCCCACAAATCTACAAACCGAAGTTTGAGATTGTTCTTTTGGCATATTTCATAAAGCTGTGTAACAGGATGCGTCTTTATCGTCCCCGGATTTATTATCGGCTCCAGCAAATCCTTAAACGCCTAGTTTTTTGAAAAAGACGAGACATTCTAGTGAGAATGGTTTAACAACAAACATATGAAACAAATATGAGGACATGAGAATGCAGACCTCCCACACAGTGTCAATTGAGTTACAGTCCATGAAAACTGCTCCAATTGTTGATTCAACAATATCTGCAAGGTTCTTTGGAGCATCTACGAGACCATTGGAATGCAGTGGATAGTGCGAAATCGCTCGGGTGAATTCTCGAATCTGTAAATTTTCAACACAACTGTTGATGATAACAAATCCAAAATTTTGAAGTTTTGTTCCTTAGAAAGAAAACAATTAGGTTCACATCAAACAACGTGCAGGGTTGGCAATAGCCATGAAATTAACAAGCACAAAATTTCAAAGTATCTAGCAAATTCTAGAACCCAAAAACATATTTATAACGACTATAAGATTGTGACTTGTGGTTTTTTGAGACTCCCATGCCTTAAAGTCATGCCGTATAAGCCAATAATGCAGATTAAGACAAGAAACCTAATCGTTGAAGATATTAATATACTAATCACGGCAATTAAATTGACTAAACAAAATTCCATACGAATATTTTCAACAACTACATGTTATCTAATTCAACTTTCCTTGTTGATACCTACAAAAGCACCATTAGCACTTATCAAAATTGACATAGATTATCATCAAAATCCATGTCCAATAGAAAATATAGGATCCAAGAGTTTTAAGCTTTTACTGCCCTATCATCACTTACTTGTTCTTGAAGCAAGGGTTTCTTGTGCCGCAGGTAGCGGTGCAACCCGTGTTTGATAGCCACACGTGCAAGCTTCTCGGTATCGACATTGGCCGCCCGGAGCCGGGTCAACCTGCCCGGTGGCAAGCCCGGGTACAAATTGTATTGTTCTCTGCTGAACAACAAATTGAGCACAGCGTCCCCAACATACTCCAAACGCTCATAAGAAGAGGCAGAGCACTCTATGGACACAAAAGAAGAATGTGTAAAAGCTTCTTTTAACAAAACCTTGTTGTTGAAGCTATAGCCTATGATCTTCTCCCCTTCTTCAAGATTTGGCTGAGCCTCCTCATCAGTCAACGTCGTTGACTTTTCAGCCTCTGAAGACAAGACTTCGTTCATATGAAGTGTTTGATATTCTTCTGCTTGTGCTCCCATGGTTGGCATGAACAACAGGTCATGAGAGGAGATATATATATAGATTAGATTATGAAGCGTGGAGATTTGCTGCAAACCACTTGGTTTATATACATAAATGGTCGGCACGCCTTTATTTATGTGATATAATTTGGCAATTAGATTTGGAATATATTAATACTAGGATTAGGAGGCTGGGAGCTAACAAGGAAATATCATAGGCGGCTTTGGCAATATATGTCGGTTATTGGTGATTAAGATATGCGGTTGCTGGACGGCAGAAGAGGAAACTGAATTTTGACACATTTGGTTAAAATGGATAATCTTCTCACAGAGGAGATATCGATTACTTAAGTACATCCAATATCTTAAAAGTTGTGATTTCTCTTCAAGGGAAAAATGTTTCTCTATTGATGTTGTTATCTCGTTTTCTTAAGGTCACCTCGTAAGTTGAAATAACTTTCGGTGCTTAGTTACGTTAGTTATATTTATATATAATCGGCACATACACCATTCTTTTCTTCTCCTACCATGTATAAATGTGTAATCGTATGAGTTGACATTTATTTTTGTCTAATTCAAACAATAATGAGTTATGCATATATTAACATTACATAAAGAAGGAGTTTGTTGTTGAAGCGGTTAACATCATTTGTTCTCTTAAATATCGCTTGTATATAAAATAAAATAAAAACATTACATGGAGACCCACATTTATGCTAGGAGGGGAGAAGACAATCTTGAATTGTGAAAATCATTGTTGTCTTTAACTAGTAGTATCTTAGATAACATGCTTCTCGAATATAATGCCTCCCTAGTGTATGAGACTTGATTTTTGGAGTAGGTGAATCGCATTAATTGTTTTTGGTTACCAAACCTTGAATTATGACATTATCACAATCTGGAATTTGTATATTGCCAAGTTGCCAAGCTGGAATATTTTTCTTTTCTTCTCCAAATGGATTTGGGATTCAGGATCTTAGATTTATGTCTGGTTTTGGATACCATGCCAGCAAGTCAGCTTGACCAATTCTAGTAGAGCACGGCAGAGTTGGAAATTCAATGGCTAAATCACACAAAATGGCCCTGAACTATATTCATTGGTCACCAGGGAAAGAGTCTGAGCAGTGAAAGTAGACAAAAAGGGTATCTAGAATGGCCACCGGTCAAATAATCAAAGTGCAGTCTTGTGGCTCAAGAAATAGAATGAATGAATAAAGAAAACGAAGAATCTAGAAATGACATCACATACTTTTCAGACTCTCTAGTCAAGTCATGACCATCATGATTCATGTTGCTTGGAGCCAAAGAATAACATTACTGTTTCTACGGAAATCAAAGCCATGATTATGCATGTTGCTTCTAGTAAATAAAAGATTTCGAAATGAAAATCAATCATTTTTGCTCTCAATTTTTGCATGAGGTGCATGCTAGATGATTGCATCGAGCATCACCAATAGCTTATTCAACAACTTTGGAGTATTAAAATAGGGAAGTCACATCATCAAAAGTCTTTCCAACAGCCTTTGTCAAACTCAATGAATCAAAAGTGTAATATCTTTCTCTCTCTTTAGGATTGGTAAGTTGACTTTGACTCTTTAAAACATTTCATTTTAGTTTGAAAAAACAAAACTTATCTTGAAAACATTAAAAACTTGCACAAATAAATAGACATTATACACATGTTTTCGTATTTTTCATTCTTTTCTATAACAGTGCATGAATTGAATTGAAGAGTCTGTTATGGCATAAATTATCGATGTAGCAAATAAACCTTTTCAAATTGCCATGTAGATCAACAAACTATAATTTGAAGATTAGTTTGCTACTACCATTGGAGAGAACCAATCACCAACCCCAGTCCCAATCAAATCATTATTAGAGGCTTAGTATTTCAAGATGCACAGACATTTTCTTCGAACCCCCCAAAAAGAAAAGGGAATCAAACCCTGAAGAACAGCAATTAAAAAGTAGAAGATTTCCCACCATCTGATGGCTTTCATATTTTTCTTTTGCACGCAAACCATTTTCACAAGGAAAACCAGTAAATCCATATGCTCTGTTTTTCTTTTTGGTTTTATTACCACCATAATACGCTTCCTTTTTTGGAATTAATGCAAAGCATTACGCTTTTTCATTATAGAATTCATGTTTTCGCATGAGAATGGACAGATTTGTATATGAAAAAATAAGATGGTTTTCTTTTTACTCTCAACAAGATGAAAACTTCACAATCCTACCATACTTTCAACAAGATGAAAACTCCACAATCCTACCACGCTTTTGCCACTTGCACTAAAAACCCAACTTCTCGAGGGCAAGATTCAAAGGAACTTTTATCTCTTCATTTGATACATTAAGTGATATATACAATTTACAAAAGACTCCCACGATGCTCAATTATATATGCATGTACAATGTCTATGATATCTCATATTCCGTGTGTTCACAACAAAAGAAACTTCCTAATCCTAAACACAAGCAACATTGCACTTCTAGATTTCTACCTTCCCGACATCAGATTGACCAGAGCTTGATTTTCATAGAAAGATCCAACATCCCAATCCTCAGTTGAGGATGAGAGCGTCATCAACGCAACCACGATAGATCGCATACTTGGACGCAGGTCTTTATTCTCATGCGTGCATGCTTTGGCAAGTTGGGCCATCTGCACCAGAAAATCACCATAAGTCATTTTTACACTGATATCTAGAGATAAATTATAATGTTTTTTTTCCCTTCTGAGAAATTATTTCACCTTGCGCACTGAGTCAAGTGGATAGTTGTCTCCAAGACCAGGGTCAACCAATTTCCGGAGGTCTTCTTTAGGATCGGGTTGATTAAGAACCTCCTCAAACTGTAAAAAGTAAAATTACAATAAAAATATGCTCATGTGCTTTCGTGCAATGCCAGATAGAAACCCAGCATAAACTTGATAAGAGCTACATTGGCTTATTTAAGTAAAGAGATGGCAAGAAAACTAACCAAACCAACAAGGCCTCTTGATTCAGAGCCAGAACTATCTGCCCTGACAACAGCTTCCTTGGCAGAGATCAATTCGTAAATGACAACTCCAAACGCATAAACATCTACTTTGGGAGAAACTTCGCCATACTGAGCATATCTGTACGCAAAAAATATTAGGAGTTAACCCATATTTGCAGAGACTATAGCATACTTAAGTTTGCCTTTTCCCCCCTCTTAGAAGGAGTTTATTGCATCAACATACAGCCCAACATCGGATAGGAAACATATCAAAATACCAACTTTCAAGGGAAACAAATTGGGCTGGAAGAACAGAACCATTCTCGCTATTCCAGCAGGATTCTATATTCCCAGATATAAATGAATATCTCAGCACCTAAAGACCTCTTGCATCTCTGACAGAAGCCGGAGGGGCAAACTAAAGACCTCTAATGACATTTGACAAAGTAGCAATCAGCGACTCTGGATATTTATCTTACAATTACATATGTCCACTAAAGAGTGCACAATCTTCAGGCCCCTTCAGCCATAAGCTTACAGGGCAGGGGATGATGGCAGGAAAAAAAAGAGGCAATCAGAATAGCCACTCATGGACCTTACGATAGGTCATTCCAGCAGATTTGGTCACCCCAAATTTCAACAAAGGCAATCTGTTCTGGCTAAAAATTTGCTAGAGATGTAGCAGATAAAGAGTTAAAAGAACATAGAAAAAATATCTTACTCCGGCGGCATGTATCCAAATGTTCCCACAAGACGTGTGGGGAGTGATATACTTCCAACCTCAGTCAGTTTAGTTAATCCAAAATCTGCAACCTGCAATAAAAGAGAAATTTCATTGCAACAATGTGAACAAGCTTTCAAAAGTTCATAGTGGAAATATAGGCACTAAAGTAACCTTGGCATGGAAATTCTTGTCTATCAGTATATTGGCTGATTTTATATCCCGGTGGATATAAACAGGAACAGTATGCTCATGAATGTATTCAAGACCTCTTGCTGAATCTAGGGCAATCTGCACTCTATTAGACCACGGTAGCGGGTCCCTCCCTGGAAAAAAAAATTAAACGGTATTATTACCATTCTCCTGCATACAGAAGCACTTAAATCCCCATCATGCACAGCCTAACCTGAACCACGTAGATGTTGGCTTAAGTTTCCATTCTCAATGTATTCATAGACTAGGAAAAGAGAGCCCTCAACGCAATAACCAATCAAGCGCACCTGCATTTATTGTCTAGAAGATTAGAGATAATCACACGTCTTAGAGATCCGTTATGCAACGGCTACAAGTACTGTAGTACTAGTATAACCTCACAACTAGATTAAATGGACAACTAACTCGTAAAAATTCTTCTCAGAGAACATTAAATTTATTCATAATAGTATTTCTATAAATGCAAAATCAGAGTTAAGTATAAGTAACAAAACACATTGCATTGCCGCATTTATATACTAACACACTTATCTTATAACATCCTTTTCTTAGTCCAGCTGTCTTTCCAGTACTTACATAAAATAAATTTCTCTGATCACATACTTAACCTCCAATTTCTGAGCTACTAGGCCATACTTGCAACCTGATAAGAGTTTGTTGGTTTACCTAGTCTGAACCACTAGTCCCAAAAACTTAAAGTTGTTACGATGTGATGTGGAATCCAACTTATATTGGGAGATCGGAAATAAAAGGATTCTAGGAGATTCTTTTCAAAATGTATCAAAAAATAGACACATACAAAAGCTCTTCCAGTAAATTCCAGCAACTCTTTAAAAAATATGCTAAGCAAATATGTGGATTAAAATTGCTAAGTGAAAAGAAAGCATCAATTACTTCATAATTCTTCCGCAAGATTCACGTACATTGTCATTGTTTGGAAAGATAAGTTCATTACCAGATTCAAATGATGTACACGAGTCAAAACATTTAATTCGGCAAGAAATTCTTTTGATGCTTGCATATCCATCTTCTTGATTGCAGCTTTCTGCAAAGAGAGAGTTATAGGGGTTGGACTTCTAGGAGAAGAAATAAACAATTACAGCATAAACAAAACATGGTCTAGAGATGCTAATGCTCACACATTAGCTCATAAATAGTACTAGCGAATTAGCAAAGTAGAATAGATGCTAATGTGCATTAAGGCACA